CCTTAACATATATGCACCAAACTCTGGTGCACCCAAATTCATAAAAACAGTACTACAGGACTCTTAAGATACAGACTAACTCCAACTCAGTAATAGTAGGGGAATTCACTACCCCACTGTCTCTATTAGATAGGTCAACTGGACAAAGAATAAACAGAGAGACATCTGAATTAAATGATACCATACATCAAATGGACCTAACAGACATCTCTTGAATATCCCACCCAAGCACAAAAGAATAATACAACTTTTTTTTTGGGGGGGGGCGGTCTTTTTGAGACAGGATCTCCCTAGTTCCAGGTGTCTGGAACTCACTCAGTAGACCAGACTGGCCTCGAACTCACAGAGGATCCACTTGCCTATGCCTCCCTGCTGGGACTAAAGGCATGCGCCACCACACTGGCAAATAATACACTTTCTACTCAGCACTCTATGGAACTGTTTCAAAAACTGACCACATACTGGGCCACAAAACAAACCACAACAAACACAAAAAAAATTGAAATAATTCCACACATTCTATTGGACCACAACGCAATAAAGCTCAAAATCAACACTGGACAAGGCCCTAGTCACTGCACGAACTCGTGGCGATTGAACAACACACTCCTAAATAAGGAGTGGGTCAAAGGAGAAATTAAGAAAGAAATAAAAGGATTCCTAGAATTCAACGAAAAGGAAAATACAATGCAACACAACCTCTGGGACACATTAGAAGCAGTCCTAAGAGGGAAGTTTATAGCTCTAAGTGCCTACATTAAAAAATTAGAAAGAACCCAAATAAATGACCTAACACTGCAACTCTAGATGCTGGAAAGAAGGCAAGAAGAAATGAAGCCCAAACCCAGCAGAAGAGAAGAAGTAACAAAAATCAGAACAGAAATTAATGAAATAGAAACAAAGAAAGCAATACAAAGAATCAATGAATCAAAAAGCTGGTTCTTTGAAAAGCTAAACAAGATAGACAGACCCTTAGCCCAGTTAACCAAAAGAAAGAAAGAGCAAATCCAAATCAACAAAATCAGAGATGAAGGGGGAAACATCACAACAGACACACAAAAGATTCAGACCATTACAAGGGAATATTTTAAAAATATACGCTACTAAATTTGAAAATCTAAAAGAAATGGATGTATATCTAAAATCATGGGAACCACCAAAGTTAAACCAAGAAGAGAGCAACAGTTTAAACAGACCCATAACATATAAGGAAATTGAAACAGTAATACAAAGCCTCCCAACTAAAAAAAAGCCCAGGACCAGACGGATTTACAGCAGAATTCTACCATTTAAAGATCTCCAAACAATACTACTTAAATTATTCAAAATGATAGAAACAGGGAGAACTCCCAAATTCCTTCTATGAAGCCAGCATCACTCTATAATACCCAAACCGGGTGAAAACGCAACCAAAAAAAGAAAACTGTAGACCTATATCCTTAATGAACATAGATGCAAAAATTCTTAACAAAATACTTGCAAACCACATACAGACACACATTAAAAAGATCATTCACCATGATCAAGTAGGCTTTATCCCAGAGATGCAGGGATGATACTATATATGCAAGTCAACAAATGTCATTAATCATATAAACGGACTCAAAGACAAAAACTACATGGTCATCTCAATAGATGCAGAAAAAACTTTTGACAAAATTCAGCATGCATTTATGTTCAAAGTCCTATTGGAGGGAACATACCTCAACATAATTAAAGCTATATACAACAACCCATGCCAACATCATTCTAAATGGAGAAAAACTGGAAGCATTCCCATTAAAATCAGGAACCAGACAAGGATGTCTACTATCTCCACTCCTTTTCAACACAGTACTTTGAAACTCTTGCTAGAGCAATAAGACAAGAGAAAGAAATGAAAGGAATAGTAATTGGAAAAGAAGAGGTCAAACTGCCCTTTTTTGCAGATGATATGATACTATACCTAAGAGATCCCAAAAGTTCCACCAGAAAATTCCTAGAACTGATCAACACTTTCAGTATAGTGGCAGGAGCCTTTCTATATAGCAATAACAAGCAATTGGAGAAAGAATACAGGGAAATGCTCCCATTCACAATAGCTGTTAAAAAAAAGTAAATCTGACCAAAGACACCAAAGATCTCTACAATGAAAATTTTAAATCATTAAAGAAAGAGACTGAGGAAGCCACCAGGACCTCCCGTGCTCATGGATTGGAAGAATTAGTATTGTCAAAGTGACCATCCTACCAAAAGCAATATATAGATTCAATGCACTCCCCATCAAAATCTCCATGAGATACTTCACAGAATTAGAAAGAAACTATCCTTAAATTCATGTGGAAGCACAAAAGACCCCGGATAGCCAAAGTACAAAGTGCAATGCTGCAGGGATTACTATACCAGATCTCAAAGTATACTACAGAGCTACAGTCATAAAAACAGCATGGTACTGGCACAAAAATAGACACAGATCAACCAAACACCATTGAAGATCTAAACCCAAGTACATGCAATTTCATCCACCTGATAGTTGACAAAGGTGCCAAGAACACACAATGGAGGAAAGACAGCATCTTCAACAAATGGTGCTAACAAAACAGATCTCCACTTGTAGAAGGTAGAATTCATCTTGTGAAAATGACCATCTTCACCCTGTCTAAAAGTCAACTCCAAATGGATCAAAGACCTCAATAAGAAGCCTGAAGCTCTAAAACTGCTAGAAGAAAACACAGGCAGCACCTTACAAGATACAGGGGTAGGAAAGACTTTCTAAATTGTACATCAGTTTGCTCAGGCATTAATGTCAACAATTGATAAGTGGGACCTCATTAAACTAAAAAGCTTCTGTACAGCAAAAGAAACAATCAAAAAAGTGAAAAGAAAACCCACAGAATGGGGAAAAAAATCTTCACCAGTGACACAGCTGACAGGGGTTTAACATCTAGAATATATAAAGAACTCAAAAAAACAAAGAATCAAGAAACCAAATGACACAAAAGATGGACTAATGATCTAAACAGAGAGTTCTAAGAGGAAGAAATAAAGATGGCTAAGAAACATCTCAAAAAGTGTTCAACATCATTAGTAATTAGGGAAATGCAAAGGGGAACGCTCATTCACTGCTGGTGGGATTGCAAACTTGTACAACCCCTATGGAAAACAGTGTGGAGAACTCTTAAAAAACTAAAAATGGGCTGGGCATGGTGGTGCATGACTTTAATCCCAGCACTTGGGAGGCAGAGGAAGGCAGATCTCTGTGAGTTCAAGGCCAGCCTGGTCTACATAGTTAGTTCTAGGACAGCTGGGGCTACAGGGAGACCCTGTCTCAAAAAGACCAAAACCTACCATATGACCTGGTTATACCACTCCTTGGCATATACCCAAAGAACTCATCCTATTGTAGAGACACTTGTACAACCATGTTTGTTGCTGCTCTTTTCACAACAGCTAAGAGATGGAAGCAAACCTAAGTGCCCCTCATCTGATGAGTGGTTAACAAAAATGTGGCATATTTATACAATGGAGTTCTATTCAGCAGTAAAGAAAGATGAAATAATGAAATGGATTGGTCTAGAAACTGTTACACTAAGTGAAGTAACACAGACTCAGAAAAACAAAGGATATATGTTCTCCTTCATATGTGGATCCTAGCCCCAAATCCTTTTAAATTCCAGGTCCTTTTAACAAGAAGATGCTATACAGCAGTCCCTTCTGCATGAAATAACTACCATCATCATGACTTCAGCTGAACCTGATTGCTGAACATTGTCACAATTGGGCTTGTTGATGGTTGTGCTCATTTGTTAAAGGAGGGCCAAGCAGGATCAATGGACCCTCACCGGATTATCCAGCCAGTCTTCCCAATCAACTGTATGTAATTTGGCCGTAATTACACATGGCCTCCTGGATTTGGAATTGCAAAACTTCAATTAAAAAAAATTTTTTTAAAGTTGGGGGTCACCTGCCAGTACAGTGACAAACATAGAGATCTTTTCGGAGTGCATAACAAATGTAAAATGTGCAGTTAGGATCCTGCTTTATGGCAACACATCTCTTACTAATACACCAAATAGAAAAGGCAAATGTGTCTTATTCCTCATTTACTAACACCTATCTAAGGCATATGCAGTGATGAAACTCAACCTTTCTTAAAATGCAGATAAACACTATTAAGTCTTCATTTGAGATGTGACTTACTCCAAAAGGGGTTGGTAGGCAAAACTGTTCTTAATTTGCAGGTGAGTCTTCAAACTCTGAACTATTTCATTTTGATGATATACCAACTGATTGAATGACTGGCATTTGTCAATGACTTCTTTGTAAAATTTCCCTGGGTTAATAAAAGGGGAAAAAAAGAGAGGGATTATGTTCTGTTTCTTCATCAATCACTATGTAATTTTTGGAACACACAAAGTACAAATTACAGGAGAATAAAATATAAACAAAATTAAAAATACCAAAGTGCTCCGTAAGGTTCAATTCTCTCCATTTCACCAAAGCCTCAAAGAAGTAGGTTTCAACCTCCTGCCAAGAGGAAAACAGTTCGTTAATCAGGCAACTCCAAGAAAACTATGATCAAGTGCAATAAAATGACGGTATTTTAAGCTTATGATAATGATTAAGAGTTTGAAAACTCCTTTTAGCTGTTCTGAAAGGGGTAATAGCTAACACACTTAAGTCACTGGAAGTATATGAACAGATGAATTATAAAGATAATGTTTTGCTGTTTTGATTGTAGCAAATAATTCTCTGAAGTCCGTATGGGTCACAATGAAGAAAAAAACACTACATGCTTTTTCCAAGTTTAGACACAGAAAAATGTGCTGATTCCTCACAGTTCATTCATTCTGCTTCTGGAAATACGGACTCCCTACAGCCTTACGGGGGAAAAAAACCGGTATTTCTATTACAGATAAAAGTAAGTATGCCTTTGATCCAACAATTCCATTTCATAAGTTATAAAATTTATGCACGTTAAAATGTTTATTCAGCTTTATTATACTGAGGGAAAAACAAAGCAGGGTAAAAAAAATCCAGCAATAAGGAAAGAGTTGGAATAGCTTATGGCCTATACATACTAACATATATTACATAGCTATTAAAAAAGAAATACTGGGGGAGGGGGGCTGGAGAGATGGCTCAGTGGTCAAGAACACTGGTTGTTCTTCCAGAAGACCCGGGTTTGTATCCCAGCAACCACATGGCAGCTAACAACTTTCTGTAACTCCAGTTCCAGGGGATCCGACAGCCTCTTCTGTCTTCTGCAGGCATTATACAACACGGGTGCACTTACATACATGCAGGAAATACACGCATACACATAAAATAAAAATAATATTAGGGCTGGGGACGTAGCTCAGTGGTTGAGAACATGCACAGCATGCGTGAGTTCCTGGGTTCAATCCCCAACAACAACTTTTTCACTGAAGTGGAAGGATGCTGATGACATGCCCCAGTGTAATAAAGGTAGGTTACATGTAAAGTGTATGCTGGTATCTAATTTTTCTTACTAAAAAAATAAAATCTCTTAGGCAGACAAAAACCCAGCACAGAACTGTGGAAATGAATAGCAAGTCCCAATCTTAGTTGAAGAATTATTGGCAGTTGATTACTGCTGAGCAAGGAAGAGCTATCTTCTCAAAGGGAGAGACTCTAGATAGGCTGATTAAACCCCAGTGGATGAACTTGCACTGAGGGACATCTCAGGACACTAACTTTACATAATAGGCCTTAACACAAATAACAGAGTGTATGAATTCCAGTGGGGAGTGCCAGAGGGGAAGGGGGTATAAAGATGATTTTATGTACAAAATATACAAAAATTCAACAAAAATAAAATTTAATAGAACCTACAAATAGTTGCATATATGTGTATGGGGAGAGAAAAGTATGGAAGAAAATATATATATATATATATATTTGATTTTCTTTTTTTTTTACTTACTATTTTGTGTATGAGTATTTTGCCTGCACATATGTAAGTGCACCTGGCAGGCAATGTCCCTGGAACTGGAGTTATAGATGGTTGTTGGCTGCCATGTGGGTGCTCAGAACTAAATCCAGGTCCTTTACAAGAGCAGTCAGTGCTCTTAACTGCTGAGCCCTCTCTCCAGCCCTGTCATACTGTTTCAATTTTGGTTTCCTTGGCAATAAGGTGTAGCTCTCCTAGAAGTACTGGGTCAGTAAAAAACTCCAGTGGGATACCTCCATAGGAGTTGTTGGTCAGGGAGGTCTCAGAGGCCCCCAAAACAATTCATGCCATTTCTCTTGGACAATCACAGAACTAGTTGATATGATACCACACAGCTTGGATACAAGACACAGAGAAATCATGCTGGAACTGAGCTAGAAGCTTTCTCACTGCTGGCTAGCTTTCATAGTGCTGCTTGGGGAGAGTGAGGGCAGTAAAGGCATCACAGATCCTACTTAGTTGTGAAGTCTATGAACTACAATGCCAGCCTACCAGGTAAGATGTGCACATTGGTGTTAAGACATGACTGTTACTAGGATAGCCAACTGCTCCCTGACTGGATTTGAGGCCTGCTCTATAAGATAGAATCCACATCTAGTACTGCATACCAAGTCAAAAATCCATCACTGAAGAGGCCTTAGGCCATTGGGGGGCACAGCTTAATACTGCTGCTAAGCTGAACTGACAAAGCATCGAACTGTCATCTAAATACCTATGTCCACACCACCCACAAAGGCTACTCTCAGCCTAATCAGAGAAGCCTCTCCTTGCAGTAAACAGAGGTTCCTTATGGCAGAAGACAGGTACCTTAACAGCTTAAAACAACTAAACGAAGCCAGGCGTGGGGGTATACACCTTTAATCCCAGCACTGAGGAGGCAGGGGCAGGCAGATCTCTCTAAGTTCAAGGCCAGCCTGGTTTACATAGTGAGTACCAGGACCCTGTCTCAAAAAGACCAAAAAACAGCCTACTGCTGTGACTTTTGTGACAGACTGTGGCCCCTTCCTTCTGTTCTGTGATTATGCATCTCCTCCCACCAAGAGATAGAGCCTATTCCTTTACTCCTCGAATCTGTTCTGGCTTCTGACTTGCCCTAACTCATAGCTTCTTAAACCGTGCGTCTGACACCATACAGGGTCACAGATCTGAAATGTGAGCATAATGAAAAATGCAGCAATGGTAAATGGTTCTGCATGTTCAACAACTAAAAAGTAATTCAAAGCCAAACACATAATGGATCCAAGGTGTTTCTGGTAGGGCTTGTCTATGTTGCATGGTACAGTTTCACTGTAGCCTTGGCTGTGAATACATAGCACACACTGTACTGTGCATGCCTTCACACCACGCAACACCAGGAATGCTGCTCTGATACGCCTTGGCTCAGATTTCAGACCACTGTATGTTATGAACTGCAGTGGTTTTAATAAACAACAAAGTTTTCTCCTCTTATAAAACTATTGTGGTTTAATTATAGAAAACAAAGACTTCCAATATTTTCTTAATGCTATGCCTCAGCATACATCAAGTTAGAGTATCTTTGGACTGTACTGTGTTAGGATGTTTGATTTAAAAAATTACTAACTTGCTTGCTTGAGTTTCATTTAAAAAACTGCTTAATTTTGGCATGAGATTAGGATAGAATTTCTTTAACAATTTTTGACATGGCCCTAAACACACTTCTGCCACTTTACACTACATGTTTACGTTAAATGGCATTCCTAGAGTTGATGATTATAAAATCAAAATACTAATCAACTTTAAAAAAAAAACACTGAAAATGTTCTATGTCCTGAAGCATAAAATACTCAACCAAGACTTATTACTTACATAAGACATAAATATATTCATCTCATTAATATGCAGATCTGCTTTCACCTTCACTAAATGGTAAAATTGCATATATGCAGAAGAACTGTTTGAAATTTCTTTATAATTTATTATCAGTAAATGTTTGGTTTGCATACCTATTTTGGTTTGTATACTTATATACCTGGGGTCATGTAAAAGCTTTTTGACTGAGGAGTAGTAAGTGGAAAAAGTTTAAGAAGTTAAGCCCTACTATGAACAACAGCATACAATGGGAATCTCTTGGCCACATCCAAAGCAAGCCTTCATGAGACTTTGCTTGCCTGCCTTCACTATCTTAGAAAGAGTCTAACAACACAAAGATACCTAGTCAAGTTTATTGAAGAAAGACAGTCATGAAGAGACTGGAGACTAGCAGGTCCCAACCAACTGGCAGACATATGACTAGGGCCATTCTGGACCATCCAGCCCAGGACTTTTTATAAGAAAAACAGACACCAACATACACCACTATGTAACATGTTTTATTGCAGGCTGTCTTTACACCTCTCCTGTGGCTTAAACTACAAACTGTCTAGGGAATATCAAGCCTACAATTCCACCTCCGCAGTCATCTATGCTCTGTATCCACATATTCAAAGGTCTCTTAACATCTTCCCTGGTGGTCTAGTAGTTAGGATTTAATGTTCTCTCTGGTGCTCTTTGGGCACTATTATTTGCATGGTCACAGGCAGCATTATTTCAAACTCAATAAGTCACAAATGCGATTAATTATCTTCATTTCACAATTTCATGATCTTTTTTTTTTTTCTGTCTTTTTGAGACAGGGTCTTTCTGTAGCCTTAGCTGTCCTGGAACTCACTATGTAGACCAGGCTGGCCTTGAACTCACAGAGATCCGCCTGCCTCTGCCTCCCGAGTGCTGGGATTAAAGGCGTGCGCCACCACTCCTGGCTTTCATGATCTTTTTTTTAAATACAGGGTCTTGCTATGTACCCCAGGCTGGCCTAGAACTTGGAATTTCCCTACCTCAGCCTCCTCTGGAATAACGAGGTATGTGCCACCACACATCACTCCTCACAAACTTATCTGCTACATAATATCTTCAAGCACCCTGTTAATGGAACTAAAAATCTTAAAAGCACTTCCTTCCTTTCCACATATCCAGGAGGTGACAATTTCTATCCACTCTACTTCCTAAATATCTGAATCTTTTCCTTCTATTTTGATTGCCACTATCATAATTATTTCTCACTTAGATGACTATCAGATCCTCACAGCTAGCTGCCCTGACTTAAATCCTGCTCTTTCCACTAAAAGTCAAAACCCTTAAGCCTGATTATGTCTTTTTCTCCCCTGCTTACAATCCTAGAGTGGCATCCTAATGCTTCAGGATAAAATCCAAACTCAGCTTGGCACATGAAACTTTTTATGATCCTTTCCCATCTCTCTAGGTACCCCTTGCCCCCCATCCTAGTCACCACACAGAGCACATACCCTAAATACATCTGTAACAATAATGCAGTGTCTTGAATAAGACAGGCATTTTCTAGCTAGGCTTTTCCCTCGGCCTGGAATAGTCATTCCTACCCTCTTGCCATGCTAAAACTTGTACTAATAACAAAATTCAATTCAGGTACCATCTTGTATAGATCATCTTTTGACACCCACCTGATACCCTTAAAGAATTAAGGTTAGGCTCCATTCATTGTGAGTTCTCAAGGCACTGGGTGCTGACCTAGATGACATCATTTAACACACTAAACTAACACAGTAGAAGACAATGCATTCATTCAAAGACTCAGTGGCGAGAGACTGTTTAGTATCAAATGAAGAAGTTAAGAGCTAAGGCTGAAACCTCAAGTTTCAACTACAGAAAACCAGCAGAGGAATAATGGCTTGATGTAGCAAAAAGGAAAATATTTCTTCATAGAAGAATGACAATCAGGGATGTAGTGAGAATTGGAAAATCATGCAGTCTAGCATCTTTCCTTTTAGAGGAGAAAACTATGCTTCAAGAAAGCGATTTCATTAAAGTCACTTTAAAATCAGAGCTGTAAGAACACAGATTTGCAGAGGTGCTTGCAATGTACATGGGAAAGGGAAAGTTTCCAGTAACAAAACCCAACTGGAATCAAGTCAAACCAAATGTTTAACACAGCATCACCCAACTGAACAAGCTGCAAGGATGGAAATACCTTATCCGATATGGTACCGCTCCAGTATGATACCATATGGCTACCTAGGATTTTAGATTTAAAGTAAATCAGAAATTTATTTGCTGCGCGTGGTTTCTAACATGGATCTAATACACTCATTCTCATTGAAAAATGGCTAGAAAAAAATTTACTTCTATTAAAACAAATTTAAAACTATTTGAAGGTTGCTAATATCACATTTTCTTACCTCATCATAGCTTGCGGTTCTATCAATACGGTGAATGATATCAATGTTCACATTCCCCAATCGTTCAGCAAAGGTAAGAAACTAGGAAGAAAAGCATATTTAAGATACATTACCATTTAATGTTTAGCAAATCCTGAATATCAGTTGGAGTACTATATAGTCACATCAAACTCTGAAGTAGAACAATTAAGAGTTTCGTTAAGCCTTCTATGCACTGTCATTACAAATAGTGTATCTAGGGGCTGGAGAGATGGGTCAGTGGTTAAGAGCATGGGCATTTAGTAGAAGAGCAGGGTTTGAATCCCAGCACAGACATGGTGGCTAACACCCATCTGTAACTCCAGTTCCACTGGATCTGATGCCTTCTTCTGGAGGGCACTTACATACATGGATGCATAACACTCATAAACATAAAATAAAAATAACAAACAAAAAACCAAATAGTGTCAAATTGTGTATCTATCCTTTGCTCATCATTTCAGACTTGAGGGTCTGTCGATCATAAAATGTGTAATTGTGTTTTAAAACTAAAAGTGGCCATCACTGATGAAACACAAAAGGTAAATATAAGAACTCTAAACAAATGCACAGACTGTGATCATAAATATTTCTATATTTTTGCATAAGTTAGTTATTTCACCTTTTTTTTTTTTTCTTTTAAGCTTATGTATTCCACCCAGGTTGGCCTGGAATTCACTATGTACCAACGACGACCTTTAAATTTCACTTCAGGTCTTCCTGCATCCCCCTTCCCTTGGTGGTATAATTACAGGCGTGTGCCACCATGACTGGTTTTAATGTCGTGCTGGGGTACTGGGGAATCGAACCCGGGTCTTCCTGCAAACTAGTCACTCTGCTAACTGAGCTATCTTTCAACTCCGGTCATGGTTTTTCAAACACGATTTCCACGCAGAATGATGAACCTACGTGGTGACAAGTAAACTCGCTGGATCGACCAGATTTCATACCACTCCACAAGCATAGGGATCTTGCTAAGTCGTTGCAACAAGTGTGTTTTTAAACATAAGACTTAGTTAAAACGAAAACCTGAACGCACAAGAGGCAGAGAAAATACTACAGTAGCTATTAAGCAGGAAATCACTCACTCTCCCCGGCCCGGGGGCGGGTGGTGACCCCAGTTCAGTCTTTAAAGATAAAAGAGCAGGGGATAATCGGTCACAGGCAATCTCCAGGACACTAATTTGAACTCTGAACTGAAGGGAATTCCGAGACTGCCCAGATCTCCCAAACCAGGGGCGCAATCTGCTGTCCTAACTTCCCCACTCGGTCTACTACACTCGCAGACTCTCCCACGAGCCTCCAGGCTGTGACCCGGTTCTGTCCAGACTGCAGGCCCCGGAGCCCGGCGCTCGGCTAGTCAGGCAGGCGCAGAGGGACCCGCGGTTCCCGGCCCGAGCTCCCACGCTCACCCGGTAGGTGTTCTCGGTCTTGTGGGAAACCGGCTTTGGTTTCATGGTTGCCAACGGGCAGCGGCCCCCCGAGGGCCTCAGGAAAGCTGGAAGTGCTCGGCGGGCAGGAGGGAAGAGAAAGCAGCTCACACGTGGTACTCAGAGACGCCGGTAGCCCGGTCTTTCTCACGTGCACCTGGAGTGCCCGGGCGCAGCCATGTCGGAGTTGGGGAGGAGCCTCGTCCTGTCACGTGGGCGGAAGAAGCGAACTGCGCACGCGCGCTCTGCCCGGCGTCCTCAGCCCGCCTGGCAGTCTGTGAGTTGCAGTTTGCACCCACTGGAGTAAAAGTTTGCAAGAAAAAAGTATGTTTTTGTTATAAACGAGAACATGACAGTTGTCACTACCTGCTAATACTCAAAACCTCTTCTAATCCATAATTATCATTAAAGGTCGTTGTAAACACAAAATGTGAAATTATGTATATATTTTATTTATTTTTCTTTTTAGACTTTTGAGACAGAGTCGCATTGTGTAACCCTGGAACTCCCTGTGTAGACAGGACTGGCATGGAACTCACAGATCCACCCGCTTCTTCCCAAATGCTGGGATTGAAGGTGAGCACCACCACACCAGCTTTATTTAATTTAATTAATTTATTTATTTATTTATTATTTATTTGTCTTTTTGAGACAGGGTCTCCCTGTAGCTCCAGCTGTCCTGGATTCACTATGGAGACCAGGCTGGCCTCCGAACTCACAGAGATCTGCCTACCTCTGCCTCCCGAGTGCTGGGATTAAAGGTGTGCGCCACCATGCCTGCCC